TGGGCTCAAGCGAGTCTCCTGCCTCCACCTCCCAAGTAGCTGGGACCACAGGCGCCCGCCACAACGCCCGGCTATTTTTTGGTTGCAGCCGTCATTCGAACCCGCCACCTTAGGTGTACGTGGCTGGCGCCTTAGCCGGTTGAGCTATAGGCGCCGAGCCCGAAGTCGCTTTTTAAAGAAGACTTTTCCTGATACCCTAACCTCACCATTTGCTACCTGTGTGACCTTGGGCAAGTTACTTTAACATCTTTGTGTTGCAGTTTCTCCCTCTATAAAGATGATAATAGTGCTTTTGCCATAAACCTGTGGTAAGGATTAAATTAGTTAATATATATTAAGCACTTAGAAAATAACTAGCACAGAGCTGTAAGTGTTATTACTATTAATTTTGTGGGTTTACTAAGTATTATAGCTGGTACTCAAAGTCTTTGTCTTAAAGTAGAGAAAGCTAGAAAAGTCTATTGATCATCAGCTTTTTTGTTTGTTTTTGTTTTTAGGATACATAAATTCAGAAGGGGCCTTAGCAAAGCCTTATATTGGAAAGTGCATTATTGGGTAATACCTGGGACTGGTCTAGCAGGAACAAATTACTCTTTGTAGTGTAAATAAAAAGAATGATGTGAATAAAGGGTAGATTAGGAAATACTTTCGGAGTTGGGAGAGAACAGTAACAGACTGAATTTATACCGGTCAGTCACTGAATCACTTGAAAGATTCAAGTGAAATAAGTACATACACAAATAGTTTGCATCAGGATATTGTATTTAACAACTGTAATTACTAGGTTCTTCTCTTAATGTACCGTAACTAGCAGAAAAAAACTTTGTCTCGGTAGATTTGTTGAAATTAAACCATTTGTATGAGGTCTGACAATTAAGTCCTCAAACTCACTCTAGACAAATTGCTACATGCCTCATTTGTGAATATCACTAAGGTCACCTTCAAAGTACTCTTGTTGGAAAGCTAAAGACCGACACCAGCACCTAGTCTACCCTTCAAAGCAATTTTGGAACTCTTTTTCTGGAATGGCCATCATAGCTGTCATCATATTACCCTTGACATCCTAGATATCATCAAAATGTCTTCCTTTCAGCTCCGCACCTGTGGCTCAAGTGGCTAAGGTGCCAGCCACATACACCTAAGGTGGCAGGTTCAAATCCAGCCTGGGCCCACCTAACAACAATGATGGCTGCAATCAAAAAATCGCCAGGCATTGTGGCAGGCGCCTGTGGTCCCAGCTACTCGGGAGGCAGAGGCAGGAGACTCGCTTGAGCCCAGGAGTTGGAGGTTACTGTGAGCTGTGATGGCATAGCTCAGGGGAATAGCTTGAGGCTCTGTATCAAAAAAAAAAAAAGTCTTCCTTTCAATATTTCCTTCATCTTCAGGTAAAGAAGAAGATCATTGGGGGCCAGATTAGGTGAGTGGGAAGGGTGCTCTACTACTTTTATTTGTTCACTGGCTAAAAATTCCCTCACAGGCAGTGCAGTGTGAGCTGGTGCATTGTCATGTTGCAAGAGCCAGGAGTCTTTGGCCAAGATTTTCAGTTAAGATATTCCTGTTTCTGTATCAATGTTTACTTGGTCTGCTATGCTTCTCACAGTCAGCCAATGATTGTGACATACAATTCGATGAATTTTTACAATGTTGTCATCGGTTCTGTTCTTACTGGGTACCATGACCTTTCTTCATCTGTGACACTGTCTCTCCCCTTAGAAAACTGTTTAATTCATTTGTACACTGACTTTTCTTCCTGGCCTTATCACCATAAACTTGAACTAACATGTCCCTGATTTCACTTCCACTGTTGCCCAGTTTAATAAGAAATGTAATGTTTGTTTGTTGCTCTAATTCAAGCTCTGACATTCTCACAATAGCACACAAAAACATGCAACAATAATGAATGCCACTCAGTAAGACACTGCCATATACCAACATGAACACAGTTGTGAGACACTAATTTATCAAGGTTATGAAACCTTACCAATTTGTTCATACAATGTTGCCAACATAAGCACGTGGTGGCAAATTTATGAAGTAAATTGTCAGACCTCATATGATACCGGATAGCAAATTTGTGACTGTACAGTATTTCTCTTTAGCAATCTGATTTTTAACCCATTTGATTAACTTAATCTAGCAAATATCTAGTACCCTGGCTGATGTACTATTTTGCCAGTATACTGCAAAAGCTATTAAAATTCATTAGAAGTAAATAACTCTGTGGGTTGGTAATGGGGCTGTAATTTTTAGTTCTCCATAAGTTATCATTAGCTGTAAGCATATTGAGCTTTAGGCTAAATTTTCACTGAGATATGAGTCTTCCAAGTGATTCATTGACTGACTGGTACAAATTCAGTGTGTTACTGTTCTCCCCCAACACTGAAAGCTTCATGATGGAAATACCACTCAGTTCTCAACAACTCATGGTATGATTGCCTTTCATGATACGCTTTCATGTCTTTGCCAGTTTTAATAGTGGCCGGCATTCAGGTCTTAATATTTTTTTTTTTGGCAGTTTTTTTTTTTTTCTTGGCCAGGACTGGGTTTGAACCCACCACCTCTTGTATATGGGACCAGTGCCCTACTCCTTTGAGCCACAGGCGCCGCCCTACAGGTCTTGATTTAATTTATACTTGCTCCCCTTCACCAACCTATATATTCCTAAACCATACTGGGAGACTTGACTAGCAATGTTTTTTTGTTTGTTTGTTTTTAATCTCACAATGTGTGTGGTAATTGACTGACAACGATATTTAGACATTTGGGACAAAGGCACAATTTTCTTTTTACAGAGACTTGGTAGATGAAGCTAAAAATTACCTCCTATTGCCTCAAGAACGACCACTAATGCAAGGACCAAGAACAAGACCACGGAAACCTATCAGATGTGGAGAAGTACTCTTTGCAGGTTTGGATCTTTTTTTTTTAATAAATTTTTGTGGATATGAGAGTTCACTATGTTACCCAGGCTAGTCTTGAACTTATAGCCTTAAATTATCCTCCATCTTGGGCTCCCACAGTGCTGGGATTACAGGTCTGAGCTACCACATCTGGTCCCAGGTTTGTATCTTAATGTACTGTTACTAAACCACAGGTTTTTGCAGGTGAGAAATTGTCATTTGAATAATCCTTTGAACCACTATGATATTTACTGTCATAAGAAACAAATAATAGGTCAACATGTACTCTTAATCTATGACCCAACATGGGTATTCTTCAAAAGAGTACTCTATTTTTAGGTAAATCTAAAAAATGTCATTACAGAGATGTTTTGTTGAAATGCACTAACACTTTGTCACATGCATTAACACTTTCTATACTAATGTGCAATTCATGGAGCTAGCTGGGACCTAATGTAGTCTTTGTATTTAAGCTTCCAATTTTCAGTAATTCCATACTTCTTAGATTAAGGGCATCACCTGATTTTGTTGCCCCATTTTGATATGTGAAATATTCTATTCCTCTTCATTAGAAAATTTCATGTAATCTCTGGGGCTTAGTACCCTTTACTATCATCCTAATCACTTGCCTATCTTTTTTTTCCTCCAATTTTAATTTTCTCTTGAAAAACAAGCATAGGCTGGGCGCAGTGGCTCACACCTATAATCCTAGCATTCTGGGAGGCCATGGCCGGTGGACTGCTTGAGCTCAGGAATCAAGACCAGCCTGAGCAAGAGTGAGACCCTGTCTCTAAAAAAATAGCCAGGCACTGTGATAGGTACCTATAGTCCAGCTACTTGGGAGGCTGAGACAAGAGAATCACTTGAGCCCAAGAGTTTGAAGTTACTGTGAGCTATGATGACACCACAAAGCACTCTACCCAGAGTGACAGAGTGGGACTCTGTCTCAAAAAAAAAAAAAAAAAAAAAAAAAATTGCAGGAATAAATATTTCTCTGTATTTTAATAAGGAAAACAGATTTTTTAAAGTTTTCTCTAAGTTTTTTTTCCATCTAATTTCTTCATATGGGAGATTGCATCATTTCATTAAAAGTAAAATTGATTAAGAATTTTTTTTCTTTCTAATTTCCTTCATGTTTTTTTCTTTTTCTTTTTTTTGGGGGGGTGGGGTGGGGTGTGAGATCAAGTTGCACTCTGTTTCCCTGGTTAGAGTGCCATGTCGTCATAGCTCACAGCAACCTTAAACTCTTGAGCTTGAGCAATCCTCTTGCTTCAGCCTCCCAAATAGCTGGGACTGTGGGTGTATACTACCAAGCCTAGCTAATTTTTTTTCTCTAGTTTTAGTACTGAGGGGTCTCACTCTTGCTCAACCTGATCTAGAACTCCTGAGCTCAAGCAATCCACCTGCCTCAGCCTCCCAGAGTACTAAGGTTATAGGCATGAGCCACTGTGCCCACCTATCATACGTTTTTTCCTTTCTCTTTTGAAAGTATTCTTTCATTCTTGTTTTAGATTTCAAACTTACTAATTTATCATGCACTAAAGTCTCCCCTACTCCCAATATCCTAATGCTTCACTTATTGTTATTTAATAGATTCATAATTTCTATTTTTTTGTTGTTGTTATTGAGACAGAGTCTCACTTTGTCACCCTCTGTAGAGTGCCTTGGCGCCATAAATTCTTTTGCCTCAGCCTCCCTAATAACTGGGACTATAGGCTCCCACCACAGTGCCCAGCTATTTTTTGTTGTTGTTGTTGTTTGTTTGTTCAGCAGGCCTGGGCCCGGTTCTAACCCACCAGCCCTGGTATATGTGTCTGGCACCTTAACCACTGATCTATGGATGCTGAGCCATAATTTCTATTCTTATTTCTAGTATTTTCATCCTGCATATGCATGCTCATGTACACATTCATGTACTCACATGGGTTCACACAGACAATCAGATGCCCACACCTGTACACATTTGCATCTTCACCCCTATGTACCAGTCTATAGTAAAAGGCTTGTGAATAAATTCATCATTGGATCTAGTTAAGTTCACAAGGAAGCCTATGTAAAATTTCATTAGTTTTGATGGTTAAATTGGATAAATTCTATTTTAATCATCTCTCATATATAAAAGTAGTTTGTTGTGTGTAGAGATCAGCACCCCACACTTAGACGTGGCAGTTCAGTTTCAAAGTGCTCCCCTAGGAGAATGGCTCTGAGAAGGATTTCTTTTTTGATTGAGTTCCTGCCTGCAGCCTGCAGAAATGCAGAGACACTCTCACAAAGGAATACCAGAGAGTCAGACCAGGGTTGCAGCTGGAAGCCTGACTGCCTGTCGGTAGCATTCTGTCGCTGTTCTCTGCCCTTCCCCTCATTAACATTATAATCTCTGGTTTCAGTTCTAAAACACCTTAGGCTAAGCGAGAGCAGACAGCCAGTCTCCTTTACGTTTTTACCCCAAACAAAATCAATTGTATATGTGTTCCTTAGCCTTCACACTGAATTGTAATCTTAATGGTAGTTTCCTAATCTTACTTCACTTCTTTTTATCTGTATTAAATTCTTGCTGAATGTTTGAAGGTATATAAGATGATCAGTAAAGTTGGGCCTGGTCACTGACCTGAGTGATTCTTGACCTCCCTTCAAATTAATGATCCCGTCTGCAGTTTCTTTTCCCTACCTTACCGATCAGAGAGCTCTGGGAACATTTACATTGTGCTAGTTCAAAATGTTGTACTAGCTTCTTCATACATGCAAGAATGCTATTAATGCAAATTATATTAGAGTTTCTATGATTATTTCCCAATTTTGAAAGTCTGTTGTTATTTAAAATTAGAAGACTGCAAAGTCTAATATTTGGTATCTGTGGTTTCATGATGTCATGTTGGTTTCAGGAATTCTGGTAGTAAGGTCATCTTTGTGGAGATACAGGTTGAACACCCCACATCTAAAAATCTGAAATCCAAAATGCTCAAAAATCTGAAACATTTTGGAGCACCAGCATGACATATGCAAAGGAGAAGCCCACTGGAGCATTTTGGATTTCAAATTTTCAGATTTGGGATGCTTGACTGGAGTATAATGCAAATTTTCGAAAATGTTTTAAAAAGGCAAAATCTGGCTCAGTTCTATAGCTCAGTGGTGAGGGCTCTAGCCACATACACTTGGGCTGGCAGGTTTGAGCCGGCCCAGGTCTGCCAAACAACAATGACAACTACAAAACAGCCAAAAAATAGCCAGGCATTGTGGCAGGTGCCTGTAATCCCTGCTACTTGGGAGGCTGAGGCAAGAGAATCGCTTAACCCAAGAGTTTGAGGTTGCTGTGAGCTGTGACACCACAGCACCACACCACTCTACTGAAGGCAACATAGTGACACTCTATCTCAAAAAAAAGAGAGAGAGATAGAAAAGAAAATATATATAAATATACATATATAAATAACAAAATAAAAAGGGAAAATCTGAAACATTTCTGGTCCTATGGATTTTAATAAGGAATGCTTCACTTGTATGTCCATTATTATAGAGATCTATTAACTATCTTAACTATCTCAGTTTTAGTACCTGGAGTAGAGATAACAGTACACTACTATTTTCTTTTTAAATCAACTTCAGAATATTCTAGCAATGATTAAGAACTAGGTTAAGAAAGAGGAGAAGGTAATGGGAATTCCGGGGAAAGTGGTACAGAAGAGAGCCTCCATATGATCAAAAGCTAGAGGCTAAGCCAAATAGGAACATTTCAGTTCCAAGGTCCTTTCTGGATTCAGAGAGAGTACCAACTCACTGGAAAGGGACAACATACACCTTTGGGAATACTGGGATAAATCCTCCTTTGATCATGATGTATAATCTTTTATGCATTATTGTTATTATTTAACTTTTTAACTTTGATTTACTAGTTTACAAATGAGGAAACTATGGTTCAGAGGCAGAGATATCCAGCCTTTTGGCTTCTCTGGGCCACATTGGAAGAAGAGTTGTCTTGGCTACACATTAAATACACAAACACTAATGAAAGCTGATGAGCAAAAAAAAAGGTCTGTACATAATTTTCATGATATCCACCATCATAGATAAGAAAAAAAGTTTTTGCATACAGCCCATGAGGCTGCAGGTTGGACAATTTGGGAAGGATTTCCCTAAGATTGAATAGCTAGTAGAGGCAACAGTTAAATCCCAGTGTTCTAACTAAATTCAGTATTCTGTTGATTATATGCCACATTACCTCATAATCTTATTTGAAGTAGCATCATTGCCTTCCTTTGTAAAATAGGCATAACACTAACTTAGTTAGAAAGTTAAAGATTACATCAGTCCTAATGGAATAAGTTAAAACCATAACTTGTGTTTTGACTTGCTTCTAGCTTTATTTTAGTCCAAGCATTAGGTCACAGTGAGGTTAGCAGTGAGTGTAACATTGTATGTTTCAGGACAGGTATTCTCTTAACCATTTCTGTTACTTCCCCAGTGGGTGGTTGGTGCAGTGGAGATGCCATTTCCAGTGTTGAACGATATGATCCACAGACCAATGAATGGCGAATGGTAGCTTCAATGAGCAAAAGGCGATGTGGAGTTGGGGTCAGTGTTCTCGATGACCTGTTATATGCAGTAGGAGGCCATGATGGATCCTCTTATCTCAATAGTGTTGAAAGGTAAGTATTGAATTATTTTCTCTGCTATTCAATAGTTCTGTTTGAGATATTAATTCAAAAACAAATGTGACTTATTGTATTAGTATTGTATCTATGACACTAGTTGGCAGCCTAGACCACTTAGTATGACACCCAGCTACTTTATAATCTGATCTCCACCTATTTTTCCAGTGTGTCTCCCATGACATACCACCATTCCATAAACATGCTACTCCAGACTCACTTATCAAATTGCTTGCAGTTCCTCGGACATGCCATCTTCCTTCATACCTCTTTCCCTATGTGTATGTAGTGCTTTCCTCCCTGGAATATCTCTGCCCCTTTAAGATAATACATTTCCTTCAAGACACAAATGTTACCTCTTATATAAACCTTCTCTGGTACCATATAGATGAGTTATTTACCTATTCCTCTGCTCTTTGATTCAAATATTTTGAACATGCTTGTACATATAGTACAATTGTGCTATAATTGTTGAAATAGCTTTCTCCCTAACATCTCTCTATTACAGAGCCTCGGCACATTGGAAACCTATGGTAACTGATGTTTTAATAGCTTCTTGCTCTCACACAGCCTTTTCCATAGGGTTGTGTTGATTTACAGTGATTCTTGATATTTTTTTTCTTTTTTTTTTTTTTTGAGACAGAGTCTTACTTTATTGCCCTCCATAGAGTGCCATGGTGTCATAGCTCAAAACAACCTCAAACTCTTGAGCTCAAGAGATTCTCTTGCCTCAGCTTCTCAAGTAGCTGAGACTATAGGCACCTGCCACGTTGCCTGGCTATTTTTAGAGACAAAGTCTCACTCTTTCTCATGCTGGTCTCAAACCTAGGATTGTGATCCACAGACCAATGAGTGGCGAATGGTAGCTTCAGGCAATCCACTCACCTCAGCCTCCCAGAGTGCTAGGATTACAGGCATGAGCCACTGCACCTGGCCCTGATTCTTGATATTTCTATACACATTTATGAAAGCCTGCAGGATAACAAGTTCTAGAGGTAAAAATTATGTAGACAAAAAACAAACAAAAACAGAGGGATAAGTTCCATAGAAGCAAAAACAAAAAACCAAACACATACATACTTAAAAATAAATTAATGGGTTAAAGACATGAGTAGAACTAAATATTTATAAGTGAATAACAATTAAGGCTATATATTTCAAAATGGATAAAATGCAGTTAAGGTGGTACTGTGTTTCCCTGAAAATAAGACACTATCTTATATTTATTTTTTCTCAAGAAAACACACTAGGGCTTATTTTCAGGGGATTTTGTTTTTGTAGTTTTTTTTTTTTTTTTGCTGGGGGCTGGGTTTGAACCCACCACCTCCGGCATATGGGGCTGGCATCCTACTCCTTTGAGCCACAGGCACTGCCCGGGATGTCTTATTTTTATTAAGTATAATACAACAATCTACATTTATTTAAATACAGTTAAGTCATCTTCTTCTGGAACCTGACAGGGGGAGCCAACCTTGTTGGTGGGGCTGGTGCTAGTGATGCATGAACTCCTTTCCCCTCGCTGTTCGCATATGCGCAATAGGATGCCTGTAGCCTCAGTTACCACGCGCACCCTCGCAAGTGCGAACAGCTCTGAGAAAAGAGCTGTGGCAGATAAAAAGTATTCTAGTCCTCCTTAAGGTTCCACACTAAAATGCATGGCATGGCTATGCATATGCTGCATAGCCATGCCCATCACTAGGTCTTATTATCGGGGTAGGGCTTATATTTTACAAATGCATAGAAATCTTGCTAAGGCTTATTTTGGGGGTAGGTCTTATTTGGGGGGGAAACATGGTACTCAAAGGCAAATTTATATGATTTATAATTTATATGCTTCATATAGCTTATATGCATTTGTAAATAAGAAAGAGGGAATAAACAAAGATGCTTTTAAAATCCAGAAGTTATAAGAATAACAGAAGTCAACAAAACAGAAAAATAATTAATAAAAAGAGAAAAATAATGAAATTGAAAAAAATTGGTATATCTAAAAAAAGAGCATTTTGAGACTTTTTTTTTAATTAAAAATGAACATACTGTCCATCCCAGTGCTTCGTCTTATTACCCATTCACAGGAAGAGAAATATACATAGCACAGGGATAATCACTGTTTTTAGTAGCAAAATGTCAGAAGTAGCCTCAGGGTTTTAATCAATAGGAATTTGACTAAAACTGCATTATACATATAACATTAATAAAATAGATCAAAGGAAAAATCTATGGCTATATTAGCATAAATAGATCTTAATAATATGTTGAGGGGAACAAAGTAATGCCTATTGCCTGGTACTATTTATGTAAAGAAAACATGCTTGTGTATAAATATATATATATGGCTGTTTATACCTATTTCAAAGTATTTTACTGAAAAATCTTGAAGGACATACACCAAATGAAAGTAGGAAAAGATTAGAATTCAGGTGGGAATTAAAGGGGACTTTTAACATTCTAATTTTTTAAAAAGAAAATATATTCATGTATAACTTAAGTAAAAATGAATTTTAAAAAATAAAAGCAAATTAGATTTTCATATGTTTTACTTATTAATCAGCCCATACTCAGAAGGAAAGTATGTATCATATAAATTCTTTGATTTGAAATATGTAAACATAGCCAGGCTTCCTTTGTGTAATACAGTCTCTGCTCTCGATGTTTTCCTCACAGATATGACCCCAAAACAAACCAGTGGAGCAGTGATGTGGCACCTACCAGCACCTGTAGGACGAGTGTCGGTGTAGCAGTACTCGGAGGCTTTCTCTATGCTGTGGGTGGCCAAGATGGTGTGTCTTGCCTCAACATTGTGGAGAGGTGATTTTTTTCAATTTTTTTTTTAAAGACCATATACAGCTCTTTAAAAGAAACAGTTACAGCTGAATTTAGGACACTGGGGAATCCACTATTCAGTGGATTTCCCCCATAGGCTTTCAGGAAAGAGTTTTCAGTTGATCTTAAAGTATAGGAAAGTGAGAGATGCAAAAACCATTTTTTTAATTGACAGACAAAATTGTCATATGTATTTATGACATGCACTATGCTGTTTGGAAATATGTATACATCGTAAAGTGGCTAAATCAAGCTAACTAATACACACATAACTTCACATACTTAATGATTTATTTGTGGTGAGAACACTTAAAATCTACCCTCAAGTATTCAACAGATGGATGTTAACTGTAGTCACTGTATTGTGCATTAGATGTCATGAACTTATTCCTCCTGCCTAACTGATATTTTGTATTCTTTGACCAATATCTCCCCCACTTTCCCCCATCCCGCCCTCTGCCTAGTCCCAGTTAACTCCATTCTCCTCTCTGCTGCTGTGAGTTTGACTTTTATAGATTCCCCATGCGAGATCATGCACAGTATCTGTCATCCTGTGTCTACCTTATTTCACTTAAGATGATGTCCTCCAGGTTCTTCCAAGTTGTCACAAATGACAGGACTTTTTTTCTTTGAAAGCTGAATAGTATTCCATTGTGTATGTATACCGCATTTTATCCATTCATCCATCGACGGTCACTTAGGTTAATTTTATGTCTTGGCTATTATGAAAAATGGTACAGTGAACTTGGAAGTACAGGTATCTCTTCAACATAATAATTTTATTTCTATTAGATATATACCCAGTAGTAGAATTGCTGGATCATATGGTAATTCTATTTTTACTTTTTTGAGAACCCTCCATACTGTTTTCCATAATGACTATACTAATTTATGTTACTACCAATAATGTGCAAGGCTTTCCTTTCTCCACATGCTTGCCAACACTTGTTATCTTTTTTGATAATATCCATTCTAACAGACATGGTGTGATATCTCATTGTGATTTTAATTTGCATTTCCCTCATGTTTAGTGATGTTGAACATTTTTTCATCTATCTGTTGACCATGTATATGTCCTCTTTTGAGAAATGTCTGTTCAGGTCCTTTGTCCATTTTTTATTGGATTATTTGTTTTCTTGCTGTTATTTGAGTTCTTTATATATTGTGGATATTAACCTCTTCTGAGATTTATTATTTGCAAATATTTTCTACCATTCTATAGGTTGTCTCTTCCCTCTGTTGATTTTTTTTCTTTGCTATGCAAAGGCATACCCCTATACTTTTGAGATACAACCCAATTTTTTAAACTGTCACATTGATTGCACCTAACATTGAAGGGTTAGAAATATATTTTAAATTACATTCTATATTACCCTTTCTGAAATCTCTCCTGATTTTCTTCCCTGGTCTATCTGGAGTATACTTAGTGCATGATTCTGCCGAGAGAAATGACTAAAGTAATAACACTCTATGTAGCACATCTTATTAAGAGCCCAAAGTATTTTGTATATGGATTCTCATTAATTATTGAGATAAACTTAGGGAAATCTGGGTGGGCTGCTAAGATCACTTTATACTTGTGTATTTATCAGTTAATTTTGGTGAAAGAGATTTTGTTCTTAATTTCTGTCAGCATTTTGTCATTAGATTTTGGAGTCTCATTTGCTGTGATTACTAAGCATATACTATATTTCATCCTCACTTCTTTATTTATTTATTTTTTTTTTTTGAGACAGAGCCTCAAGCTGTCCCCCTGGGTAGAGTGCTGTGGCATTACAGCTCACAGCAACCTCCAACTCCTGGGCTCAAGCGAGTCTCTTGCCTCCGCCTCCCAAGTAGCTGGGACCACAGGCGCCCGCCACAACGCCCGGCTATTTTTTGGTTGCAGCCGTCATTGTTATTTGGTGGGTCCGGGCTGGGGATTCGAACCCGCCACCTTAGGTGTACGTGGCTGGCGCCTTAGCCGGTTGAGCTATAGGCGCCGAGCCCTCACTTCTTAAACAGAAATGAATCACTCTTCAGATTTTTGAGATAGCATTTATAGGTCTAGTTACTATGTTTAAGTTGAAGAATTTAACTCTGTCTTACATAAAAGTTGAAGGTAACTCTTGAAAGCTTTGCCCATTCCTTTTTATCTCTTTGTCAAGAAACCCATTTCTCTACTTTCCAGACTGAATGCAGGAGGATTCAGAGATAACAGCAGTAACAGCAAAGTTTTTTAATATCTCCAAATCCCCACATGAGAGCAGACAGAGCAATAGAGAGCAAAGTTCAAGACCTGTGATCCAATTCTGGAGATTGGTTGCTCAGCAGTGTGAACATTCTTAACATTACAGAACAGCACAGTTAAAAATGGTTAAGACGGTAAATTTTATGTTATGTATAGTCTACCACAATTTTAAAAACAAAAACTTATGGACAAGTTTTAAAATTAGGGGAAAGAATATACTCACAAACCCCAAAACACAAATGGCAAAAACAAACTACCAACAGCCATAAGATACTGTGCATTAGTATCTGTGCAGGACAAAACACAAGGAAGCAACTGGATGTGTGACGGATCTAAAAGCAGAAGAACTCTAAAATAGCTAATGGGCATTCACTACAAAGCACAAGGGGAGGACATTTTATGAACAAAAACTAAAATTAAGAATAACTTTCTTGGGGCGGTGCCTGTGGTTCAAGGAGTAGGGTGCCGGCCCCCTATGCCAGAGGTGGTGGGTTCAAGCCCAGCCCTGGCCAAAAAACACAAAAAAAAAAAAAAAAGAATGACTTTGTCTACTCCCATAGAGAGTAAGTGCAAGCAACCTGGAGTAAGATCTGAAGGGCTTAGGAGAGGGTTTCTCAACCTCAGCACTACTAGCATTTGATGGATAAATCTTTGTTGTGGAGGACCTCCCGGGGCATTATAGGATGTTCAACAGTATCTATGGCCTGTTACCAGAAGCACAAGCCTGGCTATAACAACCAAAAATGTCACCAGACATTGCCAGATGTTCTCTCAGGCGTAGCAGAGGCAAGAAAGAGAGCCAAAAATCACACCTGGTTGGGAAACTGGGCTAGAAGCATCCTCTCCGTAGACACTCTCCAAATTGACCAGCCAGAATGACCCTCCAGATCAAGACTCCACACTGAGAAGAAACTTCTAGGAATACAGTCAAAATTAAGCAGGACAAGGGCAATAGATAGCCTTATGATCCTTGAAAAGAGAAGGCCAAGGAAAGAGAAGAACACAACAGAAGTAGGGAGAGAATGAAATGAATAAGGGGCTCCACAAAGGCAGGAAACTATTACAAACCACTCGGCTAAAAATTGAGGAAAGTTCATTTCACTTAAAAACAAGCAACACCAAAGTATTAAAAGTACATCCCACACAAAGTTAATATAAGAAAATAAGCAGGCTCAGCACCTGTAGCTCAAGCAGCTAGGGTGCCAGCCACATAAACCAGAGCTTGTGGGTTCAAACCCAGCTGGGGCCTGCCAAACAACAATGACAACTACAACCAAAAAGCTGGGCATTGTGGCAGGTGCCTATAGTCCCAGCTACTTAGGAGGCTGAGGCAAGAGAATCACTTAAGCCCAGGAGTTGGAGGTTGCTGTGAGCTGTGACGCCACGGCACTCTACCCAAGGCAACAGCAAGGCTCTGTCTCAAAAAAAAAGAAAACAAGCAGCAGAACATCTCTACAGATAATGAAAGTGTACCAGAGAAAGACACCTACAGAACAGAGCAGAACTTTAATCAACTATTTCAAATTAAGATAAACATTAAGAAAAGATACAGAATATGATACTATATAAATTGGAATTAGGAAGACTCAGAAATGAGGTGCAGAACTCAGAAAGGCATTAGAAATGAGAGGAAAATCAATTCAGAATGAAGATTAAATGAAAAAATAAATAAGCAAAACAAGTAATGCTGTAGGACAAATAAGCAAGAAAGAAGTATTTTAAAGCCAAAGAGAAATTAAGAGATAGAAAGTATGTGAAACCTAGCAACAAATATTGAAAATAGGTAAAAACCTATTATACAGATAACAGGAATCTAAGAAAAAGAAAACCAAAGGAAGGGAGCAGAACAAATACTAAAAACTATAATTCAAAATTACCTTCCTGTAATAAAAAAATACATATTTTTGAATATGTATTCAAGAATATTTGTAAAATACATTATATTTCTAATATTTGTAAAATATAATGTAATATATTTTAAGCAAAATACTTTGTAGTTCTGAATTGGAATTTGAAATAAAGTCCCCCTTTTAAAAAGTTCCTATATATTCTGTCAACTGAAGAAGCTCAGCAATAAAGAGCAACCAAGTAGCACCGAACAACTTTACTCCCAAATTGTGTCTTAAAATTTCATTTCCCACTTAAAGAAACCAGAGCTTCTTGGAGAAACATCTGACTCGAGGTTTAGGACAGGAAATGTGCTGATGAGTCTTGACAGTCTTATGCTAAAGAACAACCAAGCTATCAAAGATTATCACTAAGAGCCAAACGATTCAAGAGCCAACTTGAAGATGTTCCCAGAGACAAGACAATTTCAACTTTAAGAGGGGTAATAATTACAATTGATTGAAATCCAGTAAATATATTTAAATCTATGAGTTCCTAATGGTATTTTTGTTTTAGAGACTGAGTCTCACTTTGTCGCCCTGGGTAGAGTGCTGTGGCATCACAGCTCACAGCAACCTCCAGCTCTTGGGCTTAGTTGATTCTCTTGTCTCAGCCTCCTGAGTAGCTAGGATTACAGGCACCAGCCATAACGCCGAGCTATTTTTTTGTTGCAGTTTGATCAGGGCTGGTTCGAGCCCTCCACCCTTAGTATATGGGGCTGGTGTCCTACTCATTGAGCCACAGGAGCCACCCTGGTATTTTTTTTTTTAAACCTTAACTGGTTGCCTTTGGAGGATCATAGGCAACAAATTTCTTACCTTGAAAATTTGTAAATAAAGTGAAAGAAGCAAGTATACATCCTATCTTATGTGAACTGCATCACATATGAATTGGATAACCAAACAGTAGATAAGAGCATTATTTCTTTATAAAAGAATCCCAATAAAAGAAGTGCTGGAATGCCAGCATTTTATAACACTCAGTAAATTAATGGATCTAAGTATTGATAATTAACAGTTGCTGATACTCCCCTAGTCTTATTGAAGGAACCACAGTCTGATCAACTTCTAGATCCAGCTGCCAACTTGTCCAACATACAGAGGACCGAGCAACACAGTGAACTGCACTGTGAATGTACAATCAACTGTGTCCATATCATGGGGAAAACTGTCATATGCCCCAGGTTCTAAAACATGAATTGCAAGGGGAAAAAGAATGGAGAGAAAGTAAATAAGTAAAAAAAGACTTTAAAAGTAAAAAAAAAAAAAAAAGTAATGAGTTAAGACTGAAGTGTTCAGGGATAATAGGAATGACACTTGGGTGATAATACTATAAAGAACAAGGAAGTGATAGCTATAAAAGTGAGGATAATGGTTACTGTGTGGGGAGGAGGGTCCTGAGATTGGACAAGGACACATGCAGGGCTTCCTGAGTGGCATGTGTAGTGTTTACAAGTGAGCTTTCCTTATAGTAATTCTCAACTGTATATTTTGTGTGGCTTTACATATTAGTGTTTTATTTTACAGTAGTTCTCCTTCCAAGTAGGATGTAATAGAGAGTGAGTAACAGAAATCACTCCCACTGCAACAACTAGGAAAAAAAGACAAATTACTGGCCAGGTTTAGTGGCTCATACTTGTAAACTCAGCATGTTGGGAGGCCAGGAGTTTAATACCAACCTGAGAAGTATAGAGAGACCCTGTCTCTACAGAATTTGTACAGGATTAGTTGGGCACACTGGTGCATACTTGTAGTCCCAGCTACTTGGGAAGCAGAGGCAAGAGGATCACTTGAGCCCAGGAGTTTGAAGTTGAAGTAAGTTATGATGATGAAACTATGCTCTCTAGTTGGGACAACAGAGAAAGACTGTCTTAAAAAATATATATATATATTCATTCATAAGACATCAGAAGCATATAGATGTAATTAGGGCTAGAAGAACTAAACACTTCTTTAGCCAAGGAAAGAGCCCATGTTATGTGAGCTGAGGTTACAGGCTGTTTTCTTTCCTGGGAAAAGAAAATATCTTAATAATTGGCACAAGCATAAATTTTTAAGACTTTTTTTCTGAATAAGTAAAATATGTTAGATTCTTGCTGTGCATTTGACCGCATCAAGTCTGTATATCCTGTATTTTTAGTGTGATTTCAGACTTTATTAAAAAGCCTTCAGTTAATAAGAACATGCATTCAGTCTGGTTTCTCTTACTGAAGGTATGATCCAAAGGAGAACAAGTGGACTCGGGTGGCTTCCATGAGCACAAGAAGACTAGGCGTGGCTGTAGCTGTGTTAGGAGGGTTCCTATATGCTGTAGGTGGCTCTGATGGGACATCTCCACTCAACACAGGTTAGTCCCTCCCAAAGGTAGTCTGGTTCCCCAAAGCAGCACATTTTCCTGAGGAGAGTCTCCCTATAAAAAGTCCATGTTGGCTCGGCGCCTGTGGCTCAAGCGGCTAAGGTGCCAGCCACATACACCTAAGGTGGTGGGTTCGAATCCCCAGCCCGGGCCCACCAAACAACAAT